CAAGACGTGTTAGCAGGGGCAATCGATCGACTGATTACACCACCCTGCATCATTTTTTGCTGAATAAAATCCAATTTTTGTTTCTTACTAACTTTAGGGCGCTGCTTCCAAAAATAGTGTCAGTTTTGCTCTAGCACATCACATTCTCTCACAATGCATGATGTGCATTTCATAGTATTGTCACTTTTGACAACCACTTGTACGATTAAGAAGTGTTTAACCACCGGAAAAACTGCCAAAATGAATGATTTCTATTTTCCTCTGAGCCAGGTGAGAACTATATGTTCAATTTTTGGCAGATTTTCACATGTAGAATGATTCTAAGGACATTATTTTGTGCTTAATCTTGATGTCGGGTGTAGTAATATGGCCACTGACAGAGGAAAATGCAGACATGATACAGATGTTTTCTGCTACATCTGTGGGTGTTTCACTACACCCTAATAGTATTTGTTGCTGTTTTGATCGGTGCATAAAAGTTGATTTATATGATATAATAATTAAGGAATAACTTCATTTTTATTTTGTGAAAAAACTGATAGAAACTTTTTACTCGCATTTTTTAATTCAGCATCCTAAAATTAGGTAACATGAGGCCTTTTTTGGGAAATCAGCAAAAAAAATTTTTCAACATGCAGGACGGTGTTACTGTTGGTGCTTACAGAGAGACTGCCCCGAATGAAATTATTCCTGTAAATCAAAGAAAAGAAAATTTTATCCTTAGGTAAGCTGCGTTTTGTTTTATTACATCTTGCAGAATGCTTAAAATCTGTGTCATTTTGCTTTCATTTATCATTGTGTATTCTTAGATATATCAATATGAAAAAAAGAATTCGCGATTTGTCAAAAAACCTGACGTGATACACAAATTTTTAGGGCAAATTTGAAATCAGCGCCTTCGAATTATATAGAATCAAGTTTATTAAATCAGCAGAGAAAAAGTTTAAAAATGCAGGGCGGTGTTATCTTTAAGTGGAGCGGTCATCAGTTAGAATGGCAAATTACTTGTGCTGCATCTTCACGAGTAGCCTAGCCATCAAATCATGTTCCGATCGGACGCTAGGTATCATTTCAAAGGTTTGATATTAGCTTGTTCGCGGTAAACAGACCATTTATTTAAGCCCAGCGCCGTCGTGTAGGGGGGAAAGGTGATGACAATTCTAAGGGCCCACCGTCCATTAGGGTCCACAAAACCCACAGTAGCCGCCATGACTAAATTATTATGCATAGATCTAACTAATATGCATACAAATGCATCAGAGTTAAAACAAAGCCACAAAGACATGCAATATTGATGAGATACATTTCAATAACCCCCTTCTTAAAAAATGGTTCGGTGCATAATTCGTGCTCCTCTTGGAAAATTGTCTGTGCGTTTTTGTTCGCGAGGTTCACGAACTCCAGCAGCAAATAGCGGGTACAGACCTTAAGAATATGATGTCCAAAAAAAAAAAAAAACACAAATCTGGACACTAGAAAAGAATAGAGAGGCCAGCAGGAGCAGAGCAGGGGCCCAGAACATTACAAGATTCTTTTCAAAGAAAGGTGAGAGTATTAAACTAGCTTGCTATGTTAGCTGTTCAGGCTGGTTATTCAGCTGCTAATGTTAAGTTAAAGTAACATGCGGTCAGTTGTATAAATAATCGCCTGACAAGAATGACATTACTCAGTTAACTATTAACTATATCATCCACAAAAAAGATCGGCAAGGTTATCATTCGCCAGCCATTATAATATGCTGTCAAAAAATCCAGTAGCAGCAGGACACGTTCCTCCATCCTTATTGAGTTGTTACTGCATACTTGGCTCTCTCTATCAGTAAGTGACAGTACAGGCTAGGATAGGCCAGCGAGGTATATGCAGTCAGTGTGGCAACCTAAGGTAAGACTTAAATAACCGCTTGACAAGGATGACATTACTTTTACCTTCTTACATGAGTGTTAACTAAAACTAAACTGCTACTTTAGCCTGTTAAGTCTTGACACGGGGTAATTTTACAGAGCTTGCCCTCCTCTTAGCAATAGCAAAGTGAAGCTGAGTGCTTAGAGCTATGGAACTGAGAAGCCCATTTAGATTTTGTTTATTCCAAGACTAGGTAGGTTAGTTCTTCATCAGTTGTTCCATAAAACATAACTTTAAATGTTTACAAAAGTAATATGAAATGGAACAATTAAACCTTTATGCTCTGCTACTCCAGAATCAGCCGTGGCCGCTTCATCTGAGTCTGACCCAGCAGTAGACCCTCACCACCAGCAGTCTGAAGATGTTTTTGGTGGTGAGTGAGTGAGTGTGAATAAGAGAACTAATAATTCATAATTTACATAATGATACTCTGACTCTTTATTGAGTGGTTAATCGTAAAAAGGGGAAAAATTGGGTGTACTGCCAAGAACACTGAGAAACAGAAAAATGAAGAATAACATCATGATACATAGTCATAAAAAATGGCAATGAGAAGTCAGGGGTGGGGGCCCACTCTGATATTCTGTCAGGGGGCCCAGAATTCCGAGCAACTGCCCTGTTTAAGCCCTAAAATGACAGTTTTAATCACGTAGCCTATTCATGAAAATGAAAATACTGTTAAAGACCAAGTGATCGGCTACTCCTGATTTATTACCTCTTTGTGTACTGTAATAGGAACTGTTCTGGCCATCTGCATAGCCCTGAATAGTTTCTTAATATGTGTTATGAAATGCATACTATAGACACGGGTGTAATTGGCCTTTCTGCCGTCTAGCCCCTTTCAGTATTCTATCACCAACTTTGACGGTATTCACTCAGTCGGCGAACTTTCTCTGCTCTGTCTGTTATTACCCCTGGAATTCGATGGAACATAAAAATATCCCCTTGTTTTCAGTAAAGAATTAATACATCTCTTCACTGCACAAATATAAGCCATAGCAATTCAGGTAAAAAAAGCAAAGAAACGTAGTAAGCCGAGACTGAATTCCCCATTGAACTGTATTGTGAGTACACCAGCAACTTATGTTCATACCAGCGCTCATAAAACCACTTTCAGTCTGAGAAATCGAAGGAGGTACTTCAAAACAGTCATCTTTGAAGTGCTGGGAACATATCACAACCGATGTGCTGGAAGGTTTCGAGTACACGGGTTTCGAGTACCCAAAGTCGGCCCTCGTTGTCTGGACTAAATTCACCCACTGTTGCTTTATGCCACGGACCTTGGGGAACGAATGAGTTGACAGACCACTTGCTGCTTTCGCAGTGGCACTACAGCCAAACAAAATGCATCCATTCACCTTTTCCGATGATATTCAGCACAATATAAAAGCGTGTATTCAGATGTAAATCTATTTTATTCGCCATTCATTGTGTACCTGAGATCGCTCGGGGTTCCTGAGATGACGTCACTGCCAAAGATTTCCGAAGATCTCCAAAGATTTTCGTTCTGATGGAATGAGCGTGGTTGAGGATAGAAAATTTAAAATAAAAAATAGTCCATTGCATAAAGTCGATATTTTTCGATGTATTTATTCAATTCAGACCATAATACACTTTCTCAACCCCAGTGTTGACAACATTCAGTTATACCTTTAAGTGCATTTGTAGCTACTTAATGCAGCTGAAAGTAAACTTTCTTAAAACAGTGGATTATTACCGCCACTGAACTAATACAACCTGAATTCCAAAAAATTGGGATAGTATATTAAAAGTTAATGGATACAGAATCAAGTTATTTGTAAATTCTCTTCCACCAACATTTGGTTGATAAAAACACAAAGAATATTAAAATGTTCATCTTATCAACTGTCATGATTTTTGTAGACATTTAGACATTTAAATTCAAATCTGATGCCTGCTATTCGTCTGAAAGTAATTGGTACTGGGGAATGGAAAGATGGAAAAAAGTGGAAGAACCTTCAGAAAATACTTGTTTGGAACATTCCACAGATAAACAAGGGAATAGGATTCCGTTATGATTGGGCATGAAATGGACAGTCACAAAAGGCACGGTTGTTTACAGCTAGATGGTTGAGGCTTGCCAATTTGCCATAAACTGCGTGAAGAGAAATTCAAACAGTTTATTTCTCAACATGCAATTGCATGAAATTTTGGGACTTCACCATCGAAAATCCATAATATAGAGAAAAGATTCTCAGAATCCAGAAAAACCAGAGCAATCTCCATGAGTACAAGACTAGGCCAAATACCAATACTGAATGTGCATGACATTAGAGCCCTTAAATGACACTGCATTAATAAACAGCATGTTTTTGTCATGGAAATAATCATATGGGTTTGTAAATACTTCAGAAGGCTTGCGTCAGTGAGCTCAGGTAGTCGTGACATCATCAAATGCTGGGGTTCTCAATCTTTTCCAGAAAGGGCTGGTGTGGGGGCAGACTTTCTTTCCAACCAAGCCTTTGCACACCAAAGTCTACTGATCAACCCCTTGAGTCCTTGTAGATGCAGGTGTGTAACTACCTTGTTGGAATGCACCCATACTGACCCCTCTGGATAAGATTGAGGACCCCTGATCAAATGCAAGTTAAGACTCTACTACGCAAAAGCAAGTAATATATAAACACCATCCGGAAGTGCTGCTGATTTCCCTGGACTCAAGCTCATCTACAATGGATTGACACAAAGTGGAAAGGAGTGCTGTGGTCTGAGGAATCCGTCTTTCGAGTTGCTTTTGGAAATAATGGACATTATTTTCTCACTGCCAAAAAGAGAGGGGCCATCCTGGATGTCATCAGTTACTTTCAAATGCCAGCATGTGTCATTGTTTGGGACAACATTCATGCCCCCGGTAGGGGTAACTTTTTAACAATTGATTGATGTCAAAGGGCGCACACACATTTTGGAACAACATATGCTGCCTTCCAGGCATCTTCTTTTTCTTTTCAAGGATGCCCCTGCTTGTTCCAGCAGGATAACACCAAGGCACACTCTGCACGTATTAAAACAGAGTGGCTTTGTCGTCAGTGTGGATACTAGCCATGTTATGCAGCGGTGAAGATAAAACATCATAACTGTGCATGGTGGCACAATGGCTAGCACTGCTGCCTTGTAACAAGGAGGTTCTGGGTTCAAGCCCTAGTCAACTAGGGCCTCCCTGTGTGGAACTTGCATATTTTCCCCATGTAAGCCCAGGTTTACTCCAAGTGGTCTGGTTTCTCCCATCCAGAAAAATGTTATTATAGAAACACTCCTACCTGTGCCCCTGACCACAGAATTGGCTTTAGAACTGGAGCTGGTCCCCCAGCACTGCTCTGTGGCTGCTCACTGCTCTTAACTACTGGATAGGTTAAATGCAGAAGGCAAATTACCCCACTGGTTCAACAGAGTATATCTTATCTTACTACCCCTTTTCCAGAGAAGTTGGGGTGGTGTGTAAAATGTAATTAAAAACAGAATGCAATGATTTGCAAATCACTTAAGCCCCATATTTCATTGAAAATAGTGCAGAGACAACATATCAAAAGTTGAAACTGAGAAATTTTGTTGTTTTTTGAAATGCATCTGCTCATTTTGATTTTGATGCCAGCAACACATTTCAAAAAAGTTGGGACAGGAGCTACAAATGGCTGGAAAAGTTGAATGATGCCAAAAAAAAATTCACCAAGTGGAACATCTCACTGCAAATAAGGTTAATTGGCAACAGGTCAGTAACATGATTAGGTATAAAAAGTCTTTCAGACATAAAGATGGCAATGACTTCACCACTCATGGAAAGACTGCATGGGCGAATAGTTCAACAATTTAAAATAACATTTCTCATGTAAAATTGCAAAGAATTTGATGACTTCATCCTCTACAGTACATAATACTATCAAAAGATTCAGAGCATTCAGAGAAATCACTTTGTACAAGGGACAAGACTGAAAACCTATATTGAATGGCCATGATCTGCAGGCCCTCAGGCAGCACTGCCTTAAATACAGGCAGGATTCTGAAGTGTAAATCATTGCATTGGCTCAAGAACACTTCTGTAAGTCATTTTTAGTGAGCACCATTTGTCGCTGCAAGTTAAATGCACAAATGCAAGTTAAATTCTGCTATGCAAATATTAAACCAAGATCCAGGAATGCTACGGCCTTTGCTGGGCCCGAGCTCATTTAAGATGGACTGAAGCGAAGTGGGAAACCATCCTGTGGTCTGACCGATCAAAAATGTGAAGTTATTTTGGGAAATTACGGATGCCATGTCCTCCGGGCTAAAGAGGAGAGGGACCATCTAGCTTGTTATCACTGCACAGATCAAAAGCCGGCATCTATTATAGTATGGAGGTGCATTATTGCACATGGCATGGGCAACATGCACATCTGTGAAGACACCATTAATGCTAAACAATATATACAGGTTTTGGAGTTTCATATACTGCCATCCAGACATCTTTGATAGAAGGCCTTACTTTTTTAACAAAACAATGCCAAACACAATATTCTGCATGTATTACAACAACACGGCTTTATAGCAAAAGAAGCTGAGTCCTAAACTGACCTGCCTGCAGGCCAGACCTGTCACCCACTGAAAATATTTGGCACATTATGAAAAAAAATATGACAAAGGAGCCTGCGAAGTGCTGATCAGCTGAAAGCCTAAATCAAGCAAGAATAGGAAAACATTTTGCTTCCAAAACTATAGCAGTTGGTCACATCAGTTCCCAAATACTTTCAGGGTATTGTTAAAAGAAAAGGTGATAAAGAACAGTGGTAAACATTGCCCCTGTCACAACTTTATTGAAACATGTTGCTGTCATAAAATTCTAAATGAGCAAATATTTTTTAAAAAACAATAAAATTTCTCAGTTTCAACATTTGATATGTTGTCTTTGCACTATTTTCAATTAAATATAGGGTTTAAATGATTTGCAAATCATTGCATTCTCTTTTTATTTACATTTTACACACCATCCCAGCTTCTCTGAAATGGGGTTGTATTTTCAAAAAACAATATGATAATATTTTAAGTAATAAATTTAATATAATAAATATGATCTGTCCAAACATTACTTATTTTCTCTTTTTACTTTTTTCAATCAAATTTTTTTTTAGGATCCAGACCAGGAACAAAATGTGAAGTCACCGTCCAATCCAGTCATAGGGTCTATGGATAGTAATATGGTACTGACAGAGGGCTGAAGCCCAGAGCAGAATGAGAATGTTCATTTCTGATGGTACTGGTTTGGGTGAAGGGTGTATGTCCGATCCAGTGGCAATTCAGGACAGCTGCCAGATGGAGTGCACACTACACCATTGCAGAACTGTCCGGGACGGGGAAATATAGCAGGAACGCAGTCCCAGTCCTGATGACCACAGTGGGCTTGGGAGCTTGTTCCTGTTTGTAGAAGTCAAAGGAGAACTTCCGTATTTAACTATCATTAAAGATTGTGAATAATTTCTGAAGACAAACTTTTACTTGGAAATTCTGACTGGTTGCCAGAGGGAATATAGCAAGTGACAATCCAAAAACTTGACTAAACTAGGCACTCTCAAAGTAAGGAATATATAACAGACACGTGAGGGTATGGGGAAACACGGCTAGGTAATAGCTGGTGGGGAAAGCACGCAGGACGTAAACCAATCAAAGGAGACCGTATATCTGAAAGACACACAAGTTGCTGGATGGGAGGACACACGAAAGGAATTCACACAAAAGTTGCGTCAATACAACCCCCCTGTCGTGGTCCAGTGGTGGACCCTAGACATCGGCACAGGAAATTACAAAACAGGTAGGGGTCCTGGGTGTGATACTCAGGGACCCAGAAATGCTTCTTGGGCCTATATCTCACCCTGTCCACCAAGAATTGGCATCCGCGTTCCCTGCACCGGACGCATGGTGTAGGCAGGGCCAATATCGATGAGTCTGGGGGGAGGTGGGGAGCGGGAGGGAAGATTGTTGGGAGACAAAGACATGCGTTTAATTTTTGAGGAGCCTGACAGTGGGTGAGGATAACACTCTTGATATGGTGCATGGGATCATAAACTGGGGGGCGAGCTTCTTTAACGTATCCCAGAGAGGGATGTCCTTTGTAGTGAGCCAGACCCTGTGTTCCACTTGGTAAGCAGGAGCTGGTCAATGATGACAATTCCTTTACTTCTGGAAGGTGGACTAATGCCAGAGTAGGAAGGCACAAGGCTCTTCTCCATCCCCAGTGGGCGTGATGCACCAGGAACTGAGCAGAAGGAACTTACATACAGGTTTTGGAGTAAAATATGCTGCCATCCAAGGAACGTCTTTTTCAGGGACGTCCCTGCTTATTTCAGCAAGACAATGCCAAGCCACATTCTGCATGTGTTACAACAGCATGGCTTCGTAGTCAAAGAGTGGGAGTAATAGACCAGCCTGCCTGCAGTCCAGACCTGTCTCCCACTGAGATTGTGTGGCACATTATGAAGCGCAAAATACGACAACGGAGACCCTGGACTTTTGAGCAACTGAGATTGTTCATCAAGCAAGAATGTGTAGAACTCACGCAGCTAAACCAATGACGGAAGAGCTGGGAGCGAAGGTTCATGCGTGTACTCAGACTGTTGTGAGGCAAACAGAATAAGATTAATAAACTTTCTCCATTCGCAAACAGGGCTAGGCTGCAATCACGGATATATCTTATCTGCCGCCGTGCTGTGAATAATCCAATGTGAGCATTACACAGGAACGAAGCGGGACATCAGACATATCGGTGACCACTGCAAAAGAAGCATAACAGTTACTGTATTTACTGTTGTTTCAAATCTGACTCCAATTAGAATTAGAATTTATAATTTTGCGAAAAACCTGCGTGGACCTCGGGGTGATTACACCTCAGACTCTTTGGTGAAGACCTAGGTTACTCAATATATGCCCCCGGGTATTAGCATTATTGCCGAATCTTAGTTTGTTGGTAATACCAGGGGATGGAAGTCAATCACCGCAGCAATAGCATCTTTTGGCTTAGAGACTACGAACCCAGATCTATGCAGACACCCATGGGTTCCTTCAGGGAATTTAACGGAAACCAACTTTCGTCCCTTATGGCTAAACTCCCTGAACCGCTGCTACATAGACCCTTTATATGAATAGAACATGATTGTCTCTCCAACTTGATAAAACCAATTCCCATCCCGAAGCCGCTGATCAGTCGGTCTCTTGGTTAAGATTAGACCCCTAAGAATCCGTCGTAACGTGGCTGGAAAGAATGTAAAAGGACTAGAGTCACGGAGACCACACAAGTTTAAAGGAATCACAATAATTTATTCACCAGGTCGGCAAAAGCTTAAATCAAAGTTAAATCAATTTAGACATGAGAGAAGCATCGTACCTGGCGAAAGGGCTACACACGGAACAAGCGTGTGGGAAGTTCGAATTACGAAGCTTCCTAAACTATATGAGCTACACACGGCATACAGACACACGTGTGGGAAGTCGTTTGCGATCTTTCCCTTTATGCCAAATCGCGAGTTTGATCCGGGCGGCAATGCCATAAATTAACCTGGACGATTGGCCAAATCCGGAATTTGGACCCCACTATTTGGAGGATGTAATAAAGAAATTAATGGGGGGAGAGGAAACCCAAACAATACTGAGAGAGGTAACACTTTTAGAGACAGTTTTTCCCTGAGTTGTTTAAACTATGTTTTCTTAAAATACATTTGGCATGAAATGCATCTCATTCAACTCCTTTAATTTAGCTGAAGAGATAAATATCAAACATGATAACAGAGTATTATTATGATGCAGTTGTCATGAAATTCCTTCCTAAAAGAACCACATGAATCACATGTAATTCATATCACTGTTACACCAGATATAATACAGTAATTCAATGATTACATGTGTGCTGTTCGTACAGTGCAATAGTGGTTTTTGGTTATTAAAACAGAAGTTGAGATATCGGAAATAGAAAATGTCCCAGTGAGGGGAAAAAAGGGTGCAGTGACAGGATGTCCAGATGGGGTACGGTGGTACTCATCGGTGGGGAGCACAGGTCACACCCCGCCATGAGGGAAACTCCTTCCAGCAACTAAGCCAGGGTGTGCTCCCTTTCCGCCTTTGATGTCCTCAAAACACAAACACCCACCATTCAGTTTCCAGGCCCATGCCTCCGTATCTCAGCAGCGGAATTG